TTTTCCTCGCCTCTTTTTTCCTCTTTTTTTTCTTTTTTTTTTTTTTTTTTTCCGAACGGAACTGGAAACAGCGACGTGTTTGCTCAGCAACTAATCAGGGACAATTTAAAAACAGCCATAACATACCATACATGCTGTCTAATCCAAAACTTAAAAAAAAAAAAAAAAACCAAACAAAAAAAAAAACCAAACCAAAAAAAAAAAAAAAAAAAAAAAACAACATACACAACATGTAAATTATTGCACAAGAGAAAGGCTCAAAGTTTGCGTAAAATGCAATAGTATTGCCCCGATACAGATCATGCATTCAAACGGTGAGAACAAAAAGAAAATAAACAGGGTGTGCTGGTGACAAGCACTTTCCAAATATCCTTAGCTTCCATGATTTCCATCACAAGGGACTAGAAAACCTCTACAGGGGTGCGGGATGGGGAAGGGATGGGGGTGGGGGGGGTGGGGGGGGATGTCGGGGGGCCAGGGGTACGAATATACCTCTATTCAGTTTTTATCTCGTTATTCAAGACTCGATCACTGTGCCATTTTTTCATGTGTTTCTCCAGGGTACTGTACACGCTAAAAGGCATCTTACAAATCTCGCATTTGTAAACGTCCTTTCCCACCTGCCCGTGTGTTTTCATGTGCCGGGTGAGCTTGCTACTCTGGGCGCAGGCGTAGTTGCAAAGCTCACACTTATACGGCCTCTCGCCCGTGTGGCTCCGTCTGTGGACGGTGAGATTACTACAGTTCTTGAAGACCTTCCCACAGTACTCACAAGTGTCGCTGCGTCTGCCCTCTTTTGAGCTGGGCCTGCCAGGGCCCGGGCCACTAATATGGGGGGTGCTCCCTCCGCTTCCCGTGCCGCTGCGGCCTGAGATCCCTCCGTCCAGCTCGCCCGGCGGCGTGGAGAAGCGCAGGCTGCCGTTCTCCGAGGAGTGCTCGGAGGAGGAGGCGAAGGGCGATTGTCGGGAGTCGCCGAAGCTGAGGAAGGGGTCCTTCAGCTGCCGGGAGGCGGCGTAGCCCGCCAGCCACTGGGAGTAAACGTTCTCGGTGTTGGGCATGGCGGCGGCCGGCAGGTCGAACTCCTTCTCCAGCTTGATGCGTTTGGAGAAGGGGCTCAGGGAGCTGGGGCTACCCAGCAGCAGCTTTTTGGACAGGCCTCCCGAGGCGGACTCCCCCGGGGAGCAGCCCCGGCCGTTGACCGCCCCCTCGTCGATGCGGTCGGACTCGCCGGCCACCGAGTCTTCGTCGCAAGTGTCCCTGTGCGCCTCGGGCTCGGGGAGGTGGCCCCGCTTGTGTTTCTCCCCCAGGACCTGGTGGAAGGCCTCGCTGAAGTGCTGCATGGAGCTCAGGACCATGCCCTGCATGACGTCCGGCATCGACCGGCCCTCCTCGCCGGCCCGCGAGTTGTTCTCGTGGTGGCGGGCCGCCTCCAGGCTCATCCCGAAGCCGTAGTCCGGCCTGTCGCTCTCGTTCAAGTCCTCCTCCTCTTCCTCCTCCTCCTCCTCCTCCTCCTCCTCTTCTTCCTCCTCTTCCTCATCCCCATTCTCGGGGATCATGTTGGGGTCGTTCTCGCTCTTGAACTTGGCTACCACGGACTTGAGGGCGCTGCTGGCGCTGCCCACCAGGTCGCTGGTGCCCGGCTCAGGGGAGCTGGCGGTGGAGAGCCCGTCGTCCGACTTCACCGTCATGGGGGAGGACTTGTGCATGTGGGTCTTCATGTGGCGCTTCAGCTTGCTGGCCTGCGTGCAGGCGTGGTCGCAGAGGTTGCACTTGTAGGGCTTCTCCCCGGTGTGGCTCCGGCGGTGGACCACCAGGTTGCTCTGAAACTTGAAGGTCTTCCCACAGAACTCGCAGGACTTGGACTTCATGGGCGGCTGGGAGGGAGGAGGAGCGGACTGCAGAGGAGGAAGGGGCGGCGTGGCCAGGAACGGGGGCTTGCTGCCGGGCTGGAAGGGCTGCAGCAACCTTTGCATAGGGCTGGGCCGGCTCGGGGACAAGGGCGGGCTGGAGGTGTTGCCGGCCAGCTCCCGCAGCCTCCGGGAGAAATCCATAGCGGGGGGCTCCATCGCCATGGGGTTCAGTCGCAGCACCCTGTCAAAGGCACTAGGGTGATGGGTGGCCAGAGCCATTTCTTCCGCACCCAGGCGCTCAATGCGATGCGGATCCAAATGGTGCCTCGGGGGAGGGCTAAAGAGGGGCGGCGTGGGTGGGAAACGCCCTTCTCCCAGCCCCGACGCCTCCCTCGAGACCGAGCCGGGTATTCTGAGCAGGTTAAAAGGGTTATTGTCTGCAATGTGAATCCCGTGGAGAGGTGGCTGGGAAGGGCACTCTGCACCTAGTCCTGTTGGGATACCAACCCGTGGCGTCAGGGGGCTGCCGTGCTCGCTTTCTAGGTAGATCCGTAAGCCGTGCGTGTTCTGTGCGTGCTGCAAGAGGAACCAGGCGCTGTTGAAAGGCTGTTTACAAGTCGTACACGTGTAGCTGCTGGGCTCGTCTTTACCTGCAAAATAACACAACAAGCAGCGTCAATCTCCGGCCATCCATCGGCGGGCGAGAGCTCGCCTCCCCGCCTAAAGCTCCGCTCCTCCGGGATGCTCAGCTGGGAGCTGGGGAAGGGACGTCCCAGCTCAGGCGCAGGCGGGGGGACAGGGGACGGCAGGAGGTGAGGGGCGCGACTGGGGAGGTCCAAACCCACCCAAAACGCGCCCACCTCCTCCCACCGTCCCCAGGCCCGGGTTCGAAACTGAACCCCGGCAGGTAACTGCAGTTAAAAAGGCTGTATTAAAAAAAAAAAGAATAAAAATGATTAGGTCAATTGATGCCAGCTGAGACTTGGCAGACTTTATGCTGCAAGAGGCTGCTAACATTTCAATTGGGAAGAAAATAAATGTGTAAGTAATTAAGCAAATAAATAAAATAATAAAATAAAATAAAATAAAATAAAATAAAATAAAATAAAATAAAATAAAATAAAATAAAATAAAATCCCCTTCTGAAAAGCACCCCAGAAAAACACATGCATTGGTTCAAAGCAGCAACCCAGAGCATCACGACTGCTAGCAAGCTGGGCAACGTCACGTCATTAGCCTCCTCCTTATTTTGAGAGACTAACAATGTGTACAAAATTAGGCAGCATTTCCTGCTCCTTAGCAGAGATTCAACTCTGGGGGAAGGAAAATAAATAAATAAATAAATAAAATAGAGCACGGGACAGGGAGAGGGGAAGGCAGAGAGAGCGGCAGCTCCGCCAGGGAAAGAGCTGGAGGGTGGCCAGGAGGCCTGGCCGAGAGCCCTGCCGGAGCCGCATTATTTCTCTCGCACTGAAAAGAAGCTGAGGATGGTAAATGCCACTTTGGCAAGTAGTGAGCTAACTCTATTTCATGATAATTTATTTTTGGAGATAACACGGACATTATAAAAGAGCAACCAACTAATAAATAACTAAACAAAAAGCTGGCTAATAATGACAGCAGAAAGCAGCCCCTTCTAATATATGGCAAAACAAGGGGGATGAATAACTTTTTGAGGGCTGCCCGTGAGGAAAGAGTGGCATGAGATATGGCGAAGGTGGGTACGCTTTTACACATTACTGTAATTTTGCAAATAATTCACTTCCACCCCCCGTATGGATGTTTTTTGCTAAGTGCTGGTAAACTAAAACCAGAGCTAAGAGGAGGAGAAAAATTAATTTCCAGCCCTGCCCAGCAGTTCTCGTAGAGCTGCTGTTTAGTGATATTTTTTAAAATAAACATCATCTTGAGGTTTGCTGAGGAATAAACCAGGAGCCCTCCCAAAGGCATCAGTTCTTCGGGTGGTAGCTGCCTGTACTCCTGCCCTGACCCTGCATTTATTTTATATTTTGAGGCATCTGCTCTTTCGGTACCGCTCCCGGCTAAACCTCTTTATGTGCTGCACTGAGACCTGCCCCCATTAGGTTTCCCCCTATATGAAGGAAAGGAAAAGAAAAACCAAATGAGGCAGATTTGGAAAGAAAACAGTGCTTTATTTGCTTGTTTCCCGCCTCACCTGGGAGGAGGGGAAGAAAAGCTTGGTATGGGCATTTTCATTCTCTGGCGAGCTGAACGATGACCCGAGGATACGAGAGGCAGGCAGCCCGCAGTGCCGGCTGTAGTGCCCTGCTCCCTCCGGGCTCGGCGGTTATTCTAACGTTTGGCCTGAGAAGCTGAATCGGGCGAGTAAAAAGAGACTCGACTGTCTACAGCAGGCATTTAACATTTTAATCACTTCAAATGCCCTTGGAATAATATTTAACATTTCATCCCGAAGCTGGCATCGGAATAAAATGCACTGCGCTGTTCAGTATGTGCCAGGCACGGGAGTGCAGATAAATACTTAAATCTGCTGAAATTAGAGGGAAATTCAATTGGAGTTTCACATTCCTATGCTCATTTGTGAGCTTGGAAAAAAAAAAATCTTAAATGGGAAAATTTCATCTTGCTTTGCCATAATAAAGTGGAAGTTTTTAACATCACGGTAGGAGCTAACAACGTAACGCTACCTCGCCTCTCTACCTTATAGATCAGGTCAGAGAAAATAGCATTTTATCTTATAATGAGGACACAACATCGAGCGTTCGCTACCACATTTTAGTATTCCCATCAACTAGATATTCTAGATCATAAGGGCAGCTCGTGTAATCATAATGTCAATGAGAAGGGCTGTTACGACTGAGACTAAAGATTACATGGAAAAAGCTGCTTTGAAACTGGTAATTATTACCAGTCCACTAATAGCAAATGATGCATTACAGTTTCACCGTATAATCTGTATTTCACTCAGCTCCTGCCAGTACGGCCTTATTATACTACAGCCCTCACAAATTCTAAATTCCTAAACTACAGTCATCAATAAATGTGTTACTTGCCATAATTTGTGAAATTACTTTGTTCATAACATCTTTGACTGTTATAAAGACGGGAATTGATTTCCTGCATGGCAAAATTAGAGCTACATTGATTTAGTGGAGTGTAAAATGTAATATTATTCTTCATTTGCTTGCCTGAAAAACAAGTTTTCAATTCACCATCCGCATTTGGTAATCAAGATAATAATTTAAATTTAAAATCATGTTTATGTACAAAACTTCCCTAAACAACCCACCATTTTTGAGGGAGCAACGTAAAACCAGGCAATAAAATAAAGCAACGAAAGAGTTAAAATCCACCAGCCATTTGCCTCCACCTCCTGCTTTGAAGAGACACAATTTCTAATTTGTCTATTAGTGCTTGATTAATTATGAAGGCTATTGACTGACCATATCACCACCTAGAGATACGTTCCAGTCTGATGCTGCCTTGCCAAACTGCAAGAATTATGGCACTAATCCACACGTTGCCCGCCAGCAGCGAGACGGGTCCTTAGGCTGCCGCGGCAGGCCCTGGTTTTGGAAGGGACTCGCCTTTCCCTCCTCCCGTCCTACCACCTGTGCTTTTTGGTACAGCATTCGGGTCCCCCCGGAAAGCCAGACGGGATTGTAGGACCTGAAGGCTGTGGGTCCACTGTTGTCTCCTAGCTGTGGGCCAGGCTCTACGTCCACGCGGGCTCCCCAACAAAAGCACCTGGGCAAGACCACGGGCAAGCGAGGAAAGCACGGCAGGGAGATGCAATAGCTGGTGCTGGCCAAGGACAGAGCTGGAGAAGGTCCCACGGTCATCGTCCATCCGTGCAATGTGATGGGATATGTTATCCAAAGCAGCATTGCGATGCCACTGGGGCTTTCGGCTGATCTCCAGGAATCCCCCAGATCGAGAGGTGAAGCGGGTCACCGCTGAACCAGCCCTCCTCGGCCACTAGCAGCGGGGCTGGAGCTCACATCCTCAGCTGCTTCGCATCAAGGCATTTAAGGTCAAAAGCGACCACCAGCTCTCACTCTCTGACCTTTCCTGCAAGATACGTCGCTCAGTTGTCCCGCACCATGATGTCTTCGGGTAATGTGTGACTTCCTCCAGCTCCACAAACCGTCTTTACAGCAAAGCACGGAATCCCAGTGAAAACCATTCAAAACCACTTCAGAAGGCAAGAGCAGCACCCACTGCTTGCCACCACAGTCAGTTCTCACAGCTAATCCCACTCACAGACAGGTACTGGGGTCCACCTGAATTTCTCTGGCTCCAACCTCTACTCATTCTCATTTTCTGTTGAGGGGGTTGGCTTTTTTTTTTTTGGTACGCAATGTGTCCCACCCAACACACCATGGGTACTTGTGTACCCAGAAATCAAGGCACACTTCAAAATCTGGTTATTCTTCCATCCTGAAGTCACCCCTCCATCCTCCTCCACTACTCAAGGACCAGCCTAGCTCTTCTCACCCCAGCATCCTGCTGGGAAGGAGTTGGTTTCCCTCGAAGGCTCCCGCAGAGATGCTGCTTTCTGGGGTACCGCACCCCAGCTCTGTAAGCATGGGCCCAATTCCACTCTTCTATCCAAGGATCACGGTAGGCTGTACCCAGCTGTGCTCTCAACACACCTGGCTCGACAGCCTTTCCAGACCACCCCACAAACCCATCCCTGTTGCTCTTCACCCGTCCAGCTATCCGCAATGCTAATCAGTCACAATTGCATATTAATTTCTAAATCACCAACCAAGTGCTAACCACCACTGGGGCTCCCACCAGCCCCTGCTGACCTCTCCCATCCACTGATGCCTCTCCAGCTAAGCCCCCACATTCCTAAATCTGTTGGCTAGCTCTGAATCACCCGTGCTAGCGACACCGCCCAGTACTCGGTCTTCCTATACACAATGTCACACAGCACCGCGTCCAACGCCTTGCAGAGTCTATTTCATCTACATTTATCAACCAAAGTTGTCATCTGGAAGAATGAAATCAGGTTTATTTGACAAGATCTATATTCCATAAATCTAAGTTGAGTGGCATGAATTATATTTCTATCCTGTAATTCTTTATCAATTGAATCTTATATTGGCTCTGCAATTATTCTACCCAGAAGAGATAAGCAAAGTGTTGCCAACTCTCCTACGGTTACCCCGACCAGCTCTTGACGGCATTTTCCCAGTCCATAAGCTTTATTAAAAACCAGCATCACACGTCAACTCTTTAGGGATTCTTGGGTGCAAGTTGTCAGGGCTTTTTCACTTAAAAATAGTTATCTCCACTGGACCTTGTATAAAATCCTTCTTGGCTACCAATGAGCTAGAAAAAACGTCATCACCCACCTATGATACAACAGGATAACACTGCTGTTTTCCAGGTCTACAGCAGAAATATTTATTACAAATTTCTATCTTACTGCTTCTTCCATCCGTCACTCCTAGGGTTTCTCTTTTCTCCAGGACCCTGAGAATCTCTCCTCTCCTCTCCTCCCTATCCGTGCTAGGCAAGAGTTTTCCTCAGCACCTTCAGCTTCCTTGACCAGTTCTCTACCCATCATTGTTTCTCACTGTGATTGATTGCTATCTATTTTCCATTTTTTTAATTGTCATATATTGATTTTTTTAATATCTAATTGCTGTTCTCATCT